GCAATTTGCATATCTTTAGTATCATCTGTAGGCGCACTGATGTAATGATGATGCCGAAAGTCTTTGTAGCTATATTGCCCAAAATAAGCAAAAAATGGAGATAGACTCAATGATTGCCTGCCTGTGAGGCCGTTCTTCTACCCCTGGTACTTGCGCGTTATCCTTTCAGACAATCGTGTAACAGCCATGAAAGGGAATCCCGTGCTCAGCGTCTCAAGACGAATTCAACGGTGCACACTCCCATTTCATCACCGTTCCGACTTGATGACCTTCCCTGGTGACAAATTACGAAAAAAAAACATATTTACCGATGTATGAGCACGCGCTTGTTGCGTCATTTGTGGGCAGCTTTATCGCCAGACAAGGATGATAACCTTCTTCTATGGATAGTATGGGCTTAAAAAGAACAAATATAGACAGCAAGATCATGCCTGAAAATTGAAGGAATCGGAAAAGCCATACCTCTTCAGAATCGCATACAAACTCAGGTCGACATAGGGCTAGGCCACATGTTTGACAATACCGTGCCAGCGATAGAAGAACGTCTACTTGGGCTATACGGTTAAGTACATCCGACCACACTTGTCTTCTGAAGGCACCATTATTCAGTCCTATCTCTTATTTAACTCACAAAAAATGGAAAGGGTGGGATCAAAGTAAAGCCTGCTTACTCACAGAGGTGAGCGTACACCTCATTTGCCCAAATAGAAGGGTTGAAAGGTTGGCTATGCCTGAGACCAGAGGGAGTAAGAGAAAAACCGGAGAACAAAAAGGTGGGAGGTGGAAGTCCTAGAGGGGTCGAGGAACATTCTTTCAAAAGGACGAGAGGCAGGAGGGTTGTACTGACGTGGTCACTATATTCGATGCCATCGTTGTCATATTTGACCAGCAGACCACGTCCCAAAGTTAGTTAACGTTAAAAGAAAATTTCAAATCTCCACCTTGTGTCAAAATCAGAGAAAACACGTCGCGTTCCATCTTCACGTAACATTTCTTTGCGAGCTTCAGCTTTTCTAAGTTCCTCTATGAGTCCTTCGAGTTCCTCAGTGGAATATCGTTTGAAACCCTGCAGCACTCCTTATTATATGATGTTGGAAAGAAATTGTAGGAAAACCTGCCTTTCGGCGTGACTTCAGCTCAAAGTAACGTGGAACGCTGACGTTTTCCGATATTTCCATTTGAAATCGTTTGTTCCCACTTCCGAAGAAACTTATCTATAAAAATGTCCATTTTGATAGTTGATTTCATTATTTCTCACAATATGAACCACTAGATGACTAGGAATAAGGCTGTAAGAGGTCCTCATTGGTCCATCATTCCTCAAACCCAGGAAATAAAAGAAACATCCTTCCAAAAACGACCTGATTCGCAGTCTAACTGAATGAATTGACTCACTTTGCAATGAAGTTTCTCCTCAGTTTGCTTCCTGTACACGTCCAACTGTAACATAGCTTCATTCACAGCTCGACAGGCATCGTCATACTCTTCGTCTTGCCCCTTTTCTGGTACGATTAGCCCTTCTTTCTCCGCCACACTGCGATTAAATAGCTTCTAGAAATTGTTGTTATTTCTCGATTAGTACCGTTGAGGCGCATAATTCAAAGGAGCACCTCAAAATGTTCCAAATGAACTCCGAGATCATCTCCGTTAGAACCAAGACAGCTGTCTAATAATCGAGTTCTGAATAGAGTTCAGAATTCATGATTTCTTTCTACCATATACCTTACAATCTGATAAATTATCTCTGCTTCAAACCATATTACAATAATGATGAATTTTCTCTAACGTATAGCTGACCCGTTTCCACTCTGCGTAATCCTTGCGTAGAATTCGATGAGATCATTGCAAACTTTGAAGCCATCCAGGGTGCTCAAGAGATCCTTTATTTTTCTTTTACTGTAATTCTTCGCCTCAAACATAACGGCTCGACTATCCGGATGCGATTCTGCACGATACTTGAGGCCCATCGTGTGAATTCTGAAGAAGAGAGTAGCTGATAGAAACACTTTATTGGCGTACAATGGCCGAACCGCGGGAGATGTCCAAACCATCGAACAAACACTCTGTTAAACTTACTTCTGTAACAGCCTCTCGAGATCAGGTAATGAGCGCAACAACTTCGCCAACTTTTTCAACGAATCTCACATTACAGGAATCCATAAGATACTCAATCGCATCCTGACGGTCTTTTAACACTGTCATGTCACAGGTTGGGGAACAAATCCATTGTCGTAGCAATCGTTTTCCTTGAAAAAAAAGTTAAGTGGGCGTATCATAGAAAACAGAAAGCAGGTCTGCATGGGATCGCATCAGATCTGTTTCTGTTCGGAAGTCATACAAATTTAAAAGGAAAGATTCGAAGTTGAGAAAAGAGGATGAACGCGGGGAGCTTCATTGCATGGTGGAAATGATGTTTATTAGGGCCCCAAACAGCGCGGAACCTTGGCAATTTCGCCGATTTGGGCCTGCTACATAACGTCGTCACCACCTTCACCCTTTACCCCGTACTTAGAACTGACACCCCCACACCTTCAGAAGGTCGAGGCCATTCTGTTGATTCACCCACAGAGTATTTCAACAAAGGTTTTGAAAAGGAAAAGAAACCCTACCAAATGCAGTCTGGCACTTGTTCACAGTGCTATAAAGAGAAAGAGAAGCCGCTTGCGAATCACGATTGTCACCAGGAACGAGGTTGAGATTCTCCAATGTGATACCATCCAGAATCATCTGCCGATTCGCCCAAACACTTCCTTGTGAGGATTTCGAAATCGGTCTCTGTTCCATTGGTTCAAGTATTGAAAAATCCTGCATTGTCACCATGTCGACGTCTATCAAGCACCGTTGCAGATAACTGAAGCACCAAATTCAAAGATGAAGAACAACCCAAATTATAATGAAAGAGATCCTGCGTACTTACTAAAGGACAGCTCCAAGTGCACTAAGGGCCAGATAAGAATTCGCATTTGGTCTCGCAATGACTGAGTCAGGATCCAGCATTTTACGTAGCGCATCAGGCCAAGTGGAGAAATTAACTCCAAGGTATTTATCATCAGATAACTGCAAATTTTCTTTGAATCAAGCCAAAATGCACTATAGTACTTTTAGAAAGAAATAGACTAACAATCTTCAAAGTTTCCTCAGCGTCATAGAACTGTTTCTTTGGTATCAGTGGTTCTTTCTGAACAGAACTCAAAACACCATTCAGTATAGTCTTGCACTGAGGAGACAAGTGTCCTCGTTCGAACAAAACCTGAACTCAAGAAAAATGAATATTTTACAGCTACTTTTGATCATACGTCCCCTTGCATAGCAGCCTGAATCATTTGATATTACTTACCTGTACTGGAGTAAAATTAGCAATGATAGTACGCAAGAAAGAATTGTAATCATCGTCACAAAATTCACCAACAAAGAACTTCCCCACTGAAGTATCCACAAAACAGATACCATAAGTGGACCGTTGATCACACACCTGAAAAATGAACCAACTGAGGAACCTAACTGAGAATCTACGAACATATGGTCACAATTACACGGAATACAAAGGAGATTAACATTGAGAAAATACCATTTCTTTGATGCTGAATAAGTATTTGGACTGCGTTTCTCCATTATCAGTTTCTCCTCCAAATAAGTTGCACCCATCAATCACTGCATACGTACGAGTTCCACTTGTCGTGACTCGACATATTTCACTGAAAATATCACCTGCTGCCTTTGTGACCCTAACAGCGCAGTTATACTCGCACTTCCTCCTCATCAAGATATGCGAATACGAAAAAAGAAAGTAGAACATAAAAAAGGTGAAATCTGAAGACATTTGAGCAATGGCCGTAGGTCTCCAGTTGCTACATTCATCTCTATGAATCCGATTGTTTGTCCACATATTCCCCCACATTGCCAGCAGCGAGACCACCCACGTACGCGCGTCCTTTTCCTTTCACTCAGCCATTTTTCTTGGTAAGACGGCACAAACTCCTTGACAAACTGACGACAGGGCCGCATGGGCTGTGCGACGCGCACGCGCCCACGCCGGCCCCAGGCAGCTAAAATAAAACCAAAACGCGCGCTGTCGGCAGCTACGGCTGTGTCCCCGACGCCTCCTTGGAAGTCACTGCACAATAAGAGGGTGAGAGATTTTGGTATAGATGCGACCAAAACAGGGCGAAAATCGGCCGAGGATTTTCGCCTGTTCAGTCACGCTCTCCCGCGCGGACATTCACTCTCGCCACCGCGAGCCGTCTGTGCTCTCCGCGCGTACATTCACTCTCACACTATTTCTCACACAGCACAGAGCCATAGCCGAGGAACTTCCCGACCCTGCTCCAAAAGGCTATACTACGAAGTAATAGGCTTTCCTTCCGAGAGAAATTTAAATAGAAGCAAAACAGAGCTGTTTGATTTCACTTACCGACGAACCACTTTCTCCTTCGCTCCGCGCGCCTTTTGATTGCGTTCTTCCAACTGCTGCGGTGTTTCGGTCTGTTCTACGCGTGCGACCTTGTATCCGCGGGACACCAACTGATCGGCGAATTTACCATAGGCGGCCTCAGGAAAACCTGCATGAGCATAGGCGCCCTAAACACGAAAAAAAATCATCGTTTGAAGAAATCTCAACTGCATGAAAAAGACGCCTCTACTCACCCGCATGAATGTGAGCCCTAAACATTCGACGGCTATTACAGCATCCATATGGAATGTTTCGTAAAATTTTCCAACTTTGAAAAATAGCAGAGTGTCAAAATTTTTGCTCTTGAAGTTCCACCATTGAACGTGAGCTGAAAAGTTCACACAAGTAGCTCAAAGTCTCCACAGGCTGATTAGGAAACTTACCTTCTGTTTGTTCCTTCAGAAATTGAGCAGGAACAAAGAGCGTCGTCGGGTCATAGTCATCGTCGTCCGGACGATGACCTTGCGCATCGCGAATTTTCTCTGGCTAAACACCAAAAGTGGTAAGGAAACACGAGGCAGAAGTTTCATTGGCCAACACTTGAGCATGATACGGCGACCAACCCATGGCAAGTAAAAAACAAAAGAGTACTAAACAAAAAAGAAAAAAAAACGCCACAGAACTACTTCAATTAGAACAAGAACTATTAGGAAAGTATTTACCTTTAAAAATGCGAGAGTTTCATGAACGAACTTCCCGCTTTCATCCCCTGTCAAATCTTCTTTTTTGGGTTTGCGATCGTTCACGTCAACCTGGTATATGGTACGATCCAAAGTGTCGACTGATGCGGTGGATGCGTTCTGAAGGAAAGTCAAGATACACGTATCGATGTAACTACAGTCATAGCTACGCGACAGCGGGAGTGAAGCATGATCAGACCGCCGTCACACTCGGCGACCAAGGGATGGAGCGACGCGACCGCTCCATCGCTTGTCCGTCGCCGAGTGTGACGGCGGTCTCATAATCATTCTCCATTGGAAATGCACTACATACAGCCATTCGCTGATTGCCTATATGCGTGCATCTCCACAGGTTTTTGCCGTCTCTTTCATCAGTTACCCATAATCTGTCGATAATTTTATCAGAATTTAATACACAAGATATTTCCTATTGTCAGGAGATGTACTCTAATTCAAGTGTTCGAAAAAAAAATAACACGAATCCCTTCTGTGTGATTGCGTGATCCACGCAATGGGTTAAGTAGCGTACGTGCGTAATACTCAGTACCGCTGAGAAGGAAAAACTCTGACCTTTGAGAACTCAAGTATTAACAGAAGCAGTGCGATAACTCATTCTCGTTCTATTAAATTCTACAGGTTTCGCATGAAGGCTAAAAGCTACCTGTCGAAAAAAGGAATCAATATCAGGTTGTCCGATGAAAATGCTACTCGGGACTCTTCAAGTCAAAAGAAGAAAACAGACAAGACTTGTTTTTGTTTGTTAACTGCTGTTTTGGCCGCAGTTCGCCTTGCGAATGTTTCACAAGAATGCTGGGTTGTGAACAAAACTTTCGCCCCAGGCGGGACTAGAACCCGCACCTCTCGCTTTCCGGGCAAGTGCGCTACCAGTTACGCTACCGGGGCACCATTTCATCCCAACTCAGCTTTTCATGGCATATTCTCCAAATCTCGAAGACTGATTAGGCGGGTCTGTGAGTTTGACGTGGTGGTTGCCGCACTCGATAAAAGTTGCGCGGATAAACTGTCTCTAGCATGATTTGTTGATATCCAGAGAAGTATCTTATCCACTATCATCAGTATCAGTATCTATCAAGTGCAGCGATGGTCACGTTAAATCCTCAGACACGCCTAATCTGACTTCGATATATGAACTGTAAGTACCATAGCTTGTCAGCACTCACACGTATGACGTGTTGAAACACTTTGTGAAACATTCGCAAGGCGAACTGCGGCCAAAACAGCAGTTAACAAACAAAAACAAGTCAAAATTCATTGCTAAAGCTTTCAGCCTCGCGGTCATTGCCGATATCGGCTAACCGGCTCAACACGTTATACGTGTGAGTGCTGACAAGCTATGGTACGTATACCATGAAAAGCTGAGTTGGAATGAAATGGTGCCCCGGTAGCGTAACTGGTAGCGCACTTGCCCGGAAAGCGAGAGGTGCGGGTTCTAGTCCCGCCTGGGGCGAAAGTTTTGTTCACAACCCAGCATTCTCAAGAATAAGAATTACCAAGTCATCTTCGCCGACACAGAAAGAGTCAATGAAGGATTCAGCCGCAGCAGTTGATAATGGGGTCGTGCACGGTTTTAACGGTCGTAGTCCTCTCACAGTCTTCGGCGTAGAAATCTCTGGTGCTGTCGATGATGGAGTAGAGGGCGCGTTCTGCAACCACGGAATTCAGATGGGGCATTCACTATAGAGAGAACCATACTTATTGGGAATGCTTGAAGTGCTGAGCAATACCTTCAGTGACGAAGGGGGAGTCCTCACAGCCAAGACATTCTCGCCCTCATCTTCTTCATCCGACGAAACGATGATTCTACGCCGTTTCACAGAATTTCTGGCCCTGGCTATGGGAGATCCTTCATGATCATTGTTGACACGCTTCAGAGTTCTTGATTCTAAAAAATGAATATTATTATTGGGCATCTAATACATAAGATGACAATATAAGTCACCCATGTTCGGGCAACTACTTCGACCCAATTTCAGTACATTGACTGAAATTAGGAGCCATCGAGTCCAAGCAGAGCACTGCGTTGTGATAAGCCA